AAATAATAAACTTTTTGTCATCTAGCATTTTCCTATCAAGAAATCTGATTTTTTTGATTTTTTTTTGTTTTTGTTTTTTTTGTTTTTTTGTTGTTGTTTTTTTTTTGTTTAAACGCTTTAATTTAGTTTATATTATATATACATAATGATTACTTCATTAAATGTTGTAGCAAGCAAAGCAGCATTTACTTACTCCCCGATTTACATCCCACACCGGCCTGAAAGGTATATCCTACAGGACATACGCATTCACCAGCAAGATCACATTTTGAGGCAAGGATTGGTGGTTTTTGAGACGGGTCACCTTGTGGACAGTCACAACCTGGCCAATTAGAAGATAGATAGCATAAAATGTAGAAAGGCATTGGCCAATCAGAAGATAAGTAAAGAATGAATATATAAATTTGTCGTCATAAGGGCAAGTTGAAGTCAAGATAATATGCACTAACTGATTGGTGGACTTGAGAATGTTTACCAGTTAAATTTCAACCTCCTCTTAGAATGCAAAAGCTGCATTCGCGTTTGAAATGAGATGTTTCCCGTGATCAACAGCGGTCGTAGCCAGTACTAATATCATTCTCTGTATTGTCCCACTGTTAGAGAGCTCGTTATACATTGGCATATCGATGTGTGCACTGTACAATCATAGAACAGTCGTGTACGTTATGTATATGTATCGACGTCCAGTCGGAGGATAGTCGATCTCCGCACAGTATATAAAGAAACAATTTGCAATAAGGTACCTTTCTTTACGGTTTTTGTACTTACGACATTTTGGAGGGACAAAATGCGGACCAAGGCATTTGCAAATGTATCCATTCGTACTGGATGGGTCTTTTTGGCACTTGCCACCATTTAAACAGGGATTTGGCACACAGGGATCATCCGTTTCTTTCAAAATATATAAATTTTACTTTCAAATTAAACATCAAACACTACGTTCCAGTACTCTAGCTTCACTATTTTAAGGGTAAATATGTTTAGTAAGGCGTATTTAATTTCGGAATTTTTTTTCTTTCTTTGCAGGCTTATCTCTTGCATAATGCTGCAGATGTAGAAAGACTGTTACTTTGTACTCATTTTAGGTGTCATGCATGTATGGAGTCATGAAGCTAGCTTTCAGTGTGTTAGCTTATTAAAACTGACCAATTTACGTTAACTTACTGTTTCTACAATCTGGTGGTGCAAATCCGGGAGGACAGACGCATGTGAACTCCGCGGACACGTGGATATGACCAGGATGAATAAGAACTTCACGTTTACAGGTTCCTCCATTAATACATGGGTTAGGAACACATACATCTTTGTCTGAGAATTAAATAAAAGCACGGAATGAACTACTATAAATGAATACCCGGTATATATTAATGCTTCTTGAAATGGTTCTTGGATGACAATTGTCTTTGAAGAAAGTTTAATTCGGTTGAAACTTCAAAGATGCAATGCTTAAGGGTGCAACAATCATTGGTTGAATTTTTTCACGATATTCCAAGGGATTTTTTTTTTTTTTTTTTTTTTTTCTAATCATCAGAATTGCCAATGACATCGTTTACTCAACACGAAACATCAAACCTG